ACTGTGAGTACAAGTACGTATCCATGGCTGCCTCCCATTGCACAAAACTTTCGCCCTTTTCCCCCGTGTAAGGTCCAAGGGATCTTTACCTTCATTTTCTCCCTTCTCTCCCCTTCAAGTTGTCCCACATCTTCTTTCTGATCACCTCCTTTCTTGCCACCATCTCCATCGCTGAGTCCTCCCCCTCCTCCACCCTTCATCTGGGTTGCCACCTTTGTCAGTCTCCTCGCAAGAATATATTCTAACTGACGTGTGTGGTGGGAAGCCCTCTGTTCTATCTGGTGGAGATTTGCTACAGTGTAGTCTTTCCACTTATTCTTAAACTCTTCTTGGTGGGCCTCTATCCGTTCTACAGCAGCACAGGTCGTAGCATCCTCCTGGGCGGAGTGGAGGCCTTGACATCAACTTCCCCTTCCTGCTTTTCTTACACCTTTTGCCGAATCATTTCTCCCTCCTCCTTCAACCTCTTTTCCTCCTCAAATTCTCTCCTCTTCTGCACCACCAGCCTAACACTAATTGCACTCTCTCGTTCCTCTATGAGGAGGGTTCTTTCATGAGGGTGAGCAGTGTGCAATTTGGCCCGAAATGCTTCCAATTCTCCTTCGCTTTCATTTGCTGGCCTCTCCTTCAAAAACCCAAACCTGGCCAGCCACTCGTGGGCCTCCTCTTGCTGCTCCTCTCTCCTTCGTCTTCCTATCTAACCCCTCCTCCTTCCTCGTCCTATCCTTCAGGAACCTCAATCTCTTCCTCTTCCACAATCTTCCTCGCCTCTTCTTCCATTTCCTTTTGCAACTTTTCTTCTATTTTTTTTGCTCTTCTCCTCCTCCAACTTCTTTTTCATCTCCTTCTTTTTCTATCTCTCCGCCTTCTTTTCCTTTTCTTCCATCAACTTCGCATCAATTTTGGCTTGCTCCTCCAGGGTATACGGCTGTGTGGACCTACCGCCTATAGACACCACGCCCAACCCGAAGGCATGGCGGAATCCCAAAGGGAAGATCATGCGGAGAAGGGGCCCCCATATCACGCTGAGGCCCAAGAAACCGAACATAGGATAGTCATCCATGGTGAGATCCGGACACAGTAGGTAGACTGCGCCTCAAGACTTGCGTAGCTCAACACTTAATCCTAATCCTAACCTAGATCGGGGTCCACAACTCTACTTCCCTTTCCCACAGGAGTCATTATCTGCCAGCAAGGATGTCAAGAATTATTTAACGACGCAAACAGGACATCGTGGCCATCAGATGCAGGTTCGTTCTCAAGACTTAAAGCCCCTCACTGCGTCAACACCGATTCGGTCGCATGCCAGTCAGTACCGGTCTTAGGGCTAGACGGGTTGTTTCACGAGCGCCCGTCACTCATGCCCATGCTCCCTACTCTCGGTTGATACATCCAGCTGTCGAGCATCAACCTAGTGACCTGCTCAATTCACTGCATCAGCTCCGGTTCAGGGCGGTTCAGGGCCATGCCAGTCAGTACCGGTGATTGGGCTAGCCGGGTTGTTTTACAAGTGGCCTCATGCCCACGTCCCCTACTTTACAGGTGATTCATTCAGCTAATGTGTGCAGTCAACATGCATGCTCAGCACGTAGGACAAGACTCAAAGAGTCAAGCAGCAAAGTCAAAGTGCAAACAGATAGACATCAACAGAAATGACTGATTGCAGCAGGTGTCCAGGAAAGTTCATGGAAAATAACGGAAAAAAAAACAAAAATGAATTGCATAAAAAACAAGGATCAGGGCAAGAAGCACTTCACTAGTCTTGATGTCGCCCTTGATGAAGCTCCTCGCTCGCAGGTACGTATGTTGCTCGCCCATCTCAAGCCTCTTCTTCTTCGGCCCTCACTCGACTTAAACCTCGATGTATCTCTCTCTTTTTTTTTCTTTTTCTTTTTTACTGCCCGCTGACCGTATTCCTTGCCAGCACTGCTCCTCCAGGCGGATGTAGCGGGATCCAGCTCCGATACCAGTGCAATGATTCACAAGTCAATCACCCTCAACCTCACACACATGCAACGAGCATCCAGATGAGTGTTCACACTTGGAACCAATAGCCGAGACACAACAATCTCACGAGAGATTGATACGGAAAATATCTTTATTATACAGTGTCCAGGTCTCTTGCCATCTCTGCCGCTCACACATACTTAGCCTCGATTCAGGTATGTAACTGTCTACCGCTCTCTCTCTCTCTCTGCTCTCGGTATGTAACTGTCTACCGCTCTCTCTCTCTCTGCTCTCTTCGTCTCTCTCTCCCCTCTCTGTCTCTCTCTCTCTCTGGTCTCGTATCACTCAACCTCACAGTCTCTCTCTCTCTCTCTCTCTCTCTCTCTCTCTCTCTCTCTCTCTCTCTCTCCCCCCCCCCCCACCTTGGATCATGCCCTGAATATACCCACTCAGCTTAGACTCAGAACTTGGAGGCTATGGATGCCCTGCTTCCCTACAACTAACAGGGTTGACATCGGCGCTCCCTTCTTCTTTGACCGCAGTCTTGCCCAAGTCACTTGATCACACAAGCAGCAGCAGTGCTTCCGCAACTTCACGAATGAACAACTGTTGAGCCCCAGCTAAATATAGAACTTGTCATGGCTTGGCCTGCTTCGGACCGATACCGGTCAGCCGTGGCCTGTCTGCCGCAATCATTTTGTCGGTCTGAAAGCTTCCCAGACTTTCCTGGGGCGTGCTGCAAATTTCGTGGACTTTAGGACTGGACTTGGACTTTCCGGACTCTTCTGTGGGGTACCGCACTGACTGTAAAAGGACCGGACCTTCCAGACCTTTCCGTTGGATGCTGGGCCCACTTAGAACTGCGACGCCCTTCCTGGCCTATCTAGCCTACTCTAGTGAACCTTTAGACTTGGGACTTCGAAATTTCCAGAACTTTGGGGATTTGGTGCCGGGCTTTCAGGGGTCCGGGGCATGAAATCTTTTCAATTTGGGGTATCTTTCAGTCTAAAAACAGCAATAATGACTGTACCTTGTCTTGTCTGGGGCATGAAATCCTTTCAATTTGGGGTATCTTTCAGTCTAAAACAGCAATAAGAACCGTACCTTGTATTCGGGTGAAGAAAGTGCATACAACGACATAAGCATAAACTTCGGTCTTTAAACCACCAGTACCTCTGAGACTCGTTTTCCCGATGTGAATTTGCATTGAGCGGCAAAGAAAAATGAACCGCCAACGGGACACTTTTTTTCTTTCTTGGGGACCGCCGCAAGCCACCCTATCGATTGGGTCGTTGGTTCAAATCCAACATAGGGAGTCATTCTGTGTTCAAAACTCTACTACGCATACAGTCAACCAACATCCTATTCATTCTATTCTATTCTATTCTATTCTATGCTATGCTATGCTATGCTATTCTACTGTTACGTACCCGACTGAACTTCCATCCACAATGAATTCACACGTTCCAATACACGCATGCAATTACAGAGTAGACTCGGAGGAGGCAAATCCACACAAAACCGGAGAGAGAATATGCACAGCTGAAGCTCAAAACACACAGAGAATTGAAAAACGAATTTCAATTCTGCAATCCCTCGTCCTCCCCCAATCAATCCAGAGTACTTGTTCCAAGAATCACAACCTCGTTTACAACAACCCCGAACAACCAGAAACAAGTGTTCAACGAAGTAAACAGCAGTCTTCTTCTTCCTCCTCGCCACCTCATACCCCTGGCTATGGCTGCCGCAGCAGCAGTAACCCCACAGCTGTCACAACATGCCAATCTGAACCAGCCACCCCAATGATTACAGTGCCAGTTCAGCACCCGCATGGAAGTGCAACGCTGGAAGTCCTGATGAAGAAGGAGACAACCGATCCAGCACTTCGAAGAAGACAAAGTTCCTCGAGAGGAGGAACAGCAGATATGACTGCCAGTGGAAGATGGCAGCACCCAAACCCAACAACACAGTCCTGTGGAAGCTCTCATGCAGAGCAGCACTTCGAAGAAGACACAGCTCCTCGAGAGGAGGAACAACAGATATGGCTGTCAAGTGGAAGATGGCAGCACCCAAACTGAACAACTGTGGAAGCTCTCATGCAGAGCTGCAAAATAACAGCAGTGCTATCTTCAACTTCATTTCCCAACCCCAGCTATGGCTGGGCTTCGAGGAAGAAGATGACCTCGCCCAAAATAGAGCAGCAGCGCTCCAGCAACGGGCGGGCAGAGTTTCCCCAGCCAACAAAACGTGAAAAGACCCAAACCAACTTTCCTGCCCGCTACTTCTACCCTCTGCCTAGACCTACGACGGACTCCAGAGGCCACAACCCAATAGTCATCTGCATCTAGATGGAAACAGGGGGGAAAGGGGACCTAGACCTATGACAAGGCAAAAGGAAAAGGCCGAATGGCCTAAGGCTACCAAACAGA